ATATAATTCACAGAACTCACTATAATTATTGTCAACTTTTTGAATAAAGCTGTTTTGCAAATTAAGAAACAGTCTAGAAAGAAGTATTTTTTTCTTAGTAAAATCAATCATCTGCATCAAAATTGTGTTCTTTTGAAAGCAGAATTAGAAAAAGAGAAATAGTAAAATATTATGGTATTAACTAGAATAAATATTATTGTGTTAATCATTAATGTTCATTTAATTGAGGGAGTGCTTTTAATTAGGCTACTTGTCTGGTGTTTGTTTATTGTTAGCAATTTTACGGTCATGTGTTCTTATAAAAAATGCACTTAGAGAGATCTGACTGTATTAAGAAAGTTATAAAATTGTATAGTATTAAACATGCTAAGTATATAGGCTGCCATCAATAAAAATCAGGCAGATCTATATTTGAAAAAAACCCAATACCTTAACTTTTACAGCTCATATCTTGATAGATTTTAAAGCTATTTCAATAGATTTTAAAGCTATCTTGATGGTTTAATATTCAAAAGAAAGCTTAGATCATAAGCTTTTTTTTGAATATTAAACCATCTAGATAGCTTTAAAATCCATCGATATATGAGCTGTGAAAGTTAAGACATTGGGTTTTTTTCAAATATAGATCTGCCTGATTTCTGTTGATAGCAGCCGCTATTATTATTATCAATCTGAAATTATTAAAACATCTATTAGTAAGTTAAAAAAATTCTACTTAAAAAGATAAATTCCAATTTGGGTTTGTTATCAGACCGTACCAAATCCATTCTAGAGGGAAAAAAAAACCAAGTTGTTTATTTTTCTACAGTATCAAGATGCTGTCGGAGAAAGAACTGGGTTTCAATGAATCATATTAAGTATAATAATTCTTATCTTTGTAATATTATTTGTCATAGACTTAATGTCAACATTGGGTGGTTAATCAACTAATTAAATCAAACTTATATATAGACTCATAGTTAAACAATTAGGCAATTTATTAATATAAATTTATTGTTAATCTTCTTAAAGATGAATTCAATAAATTAAAGTTTGTAACTAATATTGGATCTGCTTTTTTGTGTAATGGTAATTTCTGAGTTATCTTATTTTTATATTAAAATAAAATTTTCTTTGCCTACTGCCTCAGTTTGCTGTAGGGTTTTATATTTTGTTTTTAGTTTTTTGCATAATTGTATTCATAAAATCTTCAACTTCTATTAGCCAAAATGATTGGCTTTATAATTTAAAATTTTTTTTTTGTTTGAAAAAATATTCTTGGGTCTAATTGGTTGAAAGTATTGAGCAATCTCATGATATACTTTGCTTTATGTATTGAGTATAGTAATCTCATAATCTATCTTGCTTAATCATTAAACAAATTTAGAAAGAAAATGTAGTTCATACCAAAATTTATATCATTATACATTTTCTATAATACTTTGTCTATTTTTCCCAATAATAGTAGTAAAAAATTACACCAAAAAACAATTATGTTTTGGACTTTACTTTTTGATATTTTTTGATAAAATTATCAAAAACATGGTTACAAAAGGAGAAAATAATATTAATGAATTTTTTTACTTAATTAAAATTGGTGAAGGCAAATTTGAAATTATGTTCAAAGCAAAATAAAAAAGATAAAATTATCAGTTAAAGATTATTATCACTATAAAAAATTAAAAGATGAAAATGATACAGATAAATTTAAACAAGAAGTAAGAGCTCATGATATTTGATGCAAGAATATTTTATTATATTATATTAATAACTGAATATTTATTTTAGCTCAAGATCATAAAAACAGTTTGCAAAAACCTTAAACATCAAAATATTATTAAATTTTACAAAACTACAACTATTTATAATAATTCCTTTAACATAGTTTTCCAATTTGCTAACAAAAGTAATTTACAAACTTATTTAAAAAAATTATTTAAAAAACTTATATAGATACAAAAGTTACAAATAGCATATGAAATATCAAAAGGTGTTGAGTTTTTACATAAAAACAATATTATTCATTGAGATCTTGTAAATATTAATTTATTAATTTATTTAAAAAATATTACAAAAAAAAAATAATAAAATTTCTATTTTTTTTAGCACACCAAAAATATTCTGGTTTATGAAGAAATTTATTAAAGAAAAATATTAATAGCAGATTTAGGTCAAGCAAAATTTTTAAATCAAGAAACTTCAAATGCTGACGAACCTCATAAAAATCCAGCATATACTGATCATACTACATTTTCTACATATAAGTTTACTAAAAAATTAGATATATATAGTATCAGAATAATTTTCTGGAAAATATCAAGCAGTAAACTACCATTATAATCAATTCAAGACCAAAAACAACTTTTTTTCAAAATGTGTTTAGGAACGAGAGAAATACTAATCGAAGAAACTTCACCTTATTACATGGAACTATACTAGAATTGTTGAAATTCCATGCCCAAAAGTGCTCAGACATAGAATATATTGTTAATTATTTAAATACTATTTTACTTGATTTCCAAATTGGAACTAATATATATACAACAAACAAATCATTGCATAATTTAATGCATAATTTGATTGTTGTACATTTTTTTTTTTACATAGATTAAAATATACTGTAAGTCTAAAATTAATATTAACACTAATATTTTTACAATTATTAATATAAATTTGATGAATTGAACTATTATTCAAAAATTTATCTTCATCTTTACTATCACTTGCTTGAAATTCAGGACTTGTTTTGAAGTAATAGAATTTGAAGATTTATAAATCCATAGAATTCAAATGAAAAAATTTTTATCAAATTTAATTAGGTGGTTGCTGAGATATCTTTGCTCAAATTTAAAAAAAAAAAAACAAATTCACCTATAATACAAGAATGAAAAAATGTCATAACTTCATAAATGCTCATTTATTTGGGCTAATAATCATTTTAGGCTTATGTCATTTCATCCAAGCACTTGTGCTAGTAAGTTCAAGTTCTGAAGCTTTTTTAATTAATTCTCCCTGTGAAATATTTTGTTTACAACCAATGCCACCAAGAGAATTTGATTTTATATTTAATTTTACTTTTAGTAAAATTATTGCCTTCATTTTTATATAATGCATATGCGACCTTAAATTCAAAATTACACCTCTGCACGTTATTTCATGGCTATAGTAGTAATGTTTTGACTTTATATATAGTTAAGAAACTATTGCAATTTGTCTCTTTTATAAATTTCTATATCCTGACCCAATATTATTGTTTTTTTTTTATTATTTTTGTTTAATATTGAAAATTTACAAAAAACTTCGATAGTAAAATTAAAACAATTTAAAATTTTATTATAAAAAATTAATCTAGCTATTCTAATTCTTTATGAATTCTAATTTTTTATGAATTCTAATTCTTAAAATTTAGAAATCTTTTTTAATTAATATTTTTTCAATTCATAGCCTTCACATTTTTTTGAAATAAAGTTTATTTTATAAAATCTAAAACAATTCAATTATATAAATACAATTTTTTAGAATTTCACTTAATTGAATGAAAATTAATTAAATTTGACAAATATAATAGAAGAAAATTTAAGTATTATAATAATACTACACAAAACAAGCAATAACCAATATTATATAAAAATATAAATTATTGATTGTCAAGTAAGTACCTATATAGAATTTTACAAGTCTCTATTAAAGGTAGTTTTTTTCAATATATTTTATAATGAAAAAGACTTATACAAGAGGAGCAAGCTATGATAAAATTTATTGTGAATATTTAGATACTAAAGAAAAATACCAGTCATATCAACAAAAGGTTTCTCTAGAAAAATATAAGTCAATTCGATCAAAGTTATTTATATTTAATACATAAAGAAATGGAAAATAATTGTGATGATATCCTTAATTATTGAATAAAATATAAAATAGGATTACACTTACTTTCTGTGATCAGTTGCAAACAAGAAATTAATAAAGGTTATAGGAAAATTGTTGAAGCTAAAAAGTCTGGTCTTTCTGATGCAAATTATTATATAAAAAAATATAAGAATCAGAAAAATTATACCGTAGCACATGACTATCTATTTTCTTTTCAAAAACTAAAAAATAATATATGAATTTTGACACAACTAAATAGCTATACTTACTGTATAATAAATAAAGAAAAAAAAAACTGATTTTTAAAGTTGATTTTTAAAATCATTTGAAATTTTATTATTTGATATCTAATATGTCAAAACCTAGAATCTATAATAACAAAATTTAGTTATGTGAAACTACTAACTATTATTAGTTTGCAAATTATAAGTTATCACAAAAATGCCTTTATTTCAGCTTAAACTTAATAAATTTAATTTCTGTTTTATTTAAATGTTATGATTCAAGATGAACTCTTAAATTCTGGATTACTGGTATTTTTTTTTGTACTAATATTGTTATTATAAAATCTATCATCAATATAAATAATAATTATTAATATAAAAGTTAAATATATCTATATGCAAATAGAATTTGCAGCTCGAATTTTACATACTGTTTCAATTATCTGAAATGCATATGGATAATTTGATAAACAAATAAATAGAATAGAATCAATATCATGTATAGTTCTGATTATGTAAATAACTTTTAAAATTAATCAAAAATTAGTTTAATCAAATAAGACTTGAATTTATTTCATATGAGGACTCACTCACTTGGTAGAATAAACTATAGAAATAATAATATTATAAAAACAATTTTACAAGTGTTTCAAATTTTTAGTAATAGCAAAGACTTTAAATAGGTTTAGTAAAGTAGTAAAATATCTAAAGTTTTTTGTTTCATAACAGTAGTAACAAAATACTGAAAGGAAACTAATTGCTAGAAATTGAAATTGTAAGTTTTGTGTAAAAAATGTGCAAAAAATATTTTGAATAAAGAATTTATAAAACAAATATATATACTAGCTATCAATAAAGTAAGCATTATATATCTAAAAAATTATAAAAAAAGTAAATAAGAATTTAAATAATTTTTAATTAAAAGTTTTAGTTCTTATGCATATCAATTCCTTTATTATACTTAAGAATACCATTAGTTTGATCAAAAAGTTTGACTTTTGCCAATGCTATAATAAAAGTATTTAAGTACTTAATTGTAAACAAGGTAGATATTCTACTTATTAGATTATTAATTGTTACCAAGTGATAGACAAAGAATTGTAAGAATTAAAATTGTAGTAAATAAAGCCAAACAAATAATTCTTTTTACCCCTTCAGACATTTTAAATTTGCCTTTATTTAATTGTCTCTATATACCATGAACAAATACTATTTAATTTTAAATTTTATTTTCAAAATTTATTTAAAACAATATGTAATTGCTACTTCAAGAAGCTCTTCTTTTATACATTTTAAAAATATGCAAATTAGACAAAAATATACTAAATTTGCTTGATTTAAATACAACAATACTAATTTTTATAAACATTGCTTAAATTTTTATACTACAATATATTTTAAATCTTCACTAGATATGATTATACTTTTTGTTATTTAATTTTATCTAATTGAATAATAATTTTTTTTTTTTTTTAATATTTAAGGTGAGACTTTGCTCTTATTTTTATTAAACTTAATAAAAACTTTTTACATGATTGAAAAAAGGTTTGTGTATTAAGCCTAGTACTAAAAATAAAAACTTAGATATATAACTAGGAGAACCTAGAATCTAAGTATATCTAGTAACTTATTTGTAGCCTAAACCTTTTAGAGTAGCCAAAGCTCACCTAGATTTGAGCTAGATTAAAAATATATGAAGGGATATACAATAATTAATCCAGGTAGAATACCAAGATAATACTTTTAAAAAAGATATTTGAAGAGTAGTAAAAGTATCAAAAGTAGAAAATATGTTGTGTAAAGATTCAGGTATAGATAATAACTGAGATTGTATTAGTTGAGGTTGAGTTCTTGAGCTACAATAAAAAATCCAGATATTTGAATAAAGTTGTTTGTTGATATAAAGAAGGAATTGTAGTAAATTCGCATATTGCATATATAATATCATAAGAGACAAGACCAAAAAGTGTGGAAAAATAGAGAGCTTGTCAGGAGAGTTATGTATTAAAAAGCTGTCGAGGTTGACGATTTAGTTGTGTAGCTGATTAATTTCAGATAGAGAGATTTGAAGTTTGCAGGCAGATAAATAAGTATATATAAGAAATTAAGAGAGGGGCATATAGCCCAATACAGCATAGTAATTGTTTGTTGACATATATGACAAGTATTAGAGTAGAGTGAGTTTCTTTTATATAGAATATAAGGTGCAGAAAGTTCATTAGTAAGAAGTTTAACTCTAAATATTTTAAGAGTAGAGAACTGGAAGCTATGAGCAAAGTTAGAAACTTTTTGATTGTTATTTAGATAGAGCGAAGTTGTATTCCAATTAAGATATTGAGAAATCTGTATCCAAGGTTGAAAATGGGTTTGAGATGACCAGAGAGCAAAGATATTTGTATAGTATATAGTTTGGATGCTATGACAAATAGGAAGTTCAAGAGTGTAGCCTTCAAGAAATGGGTATATAAGAGGTTGTAGATATTGTAAGAATTAAATATAAGAAATAGTAAATGAAGGTAGTCACGAGCAAGCTCATCAGCTTTGTTAGAAAGTATATTATTTTGGTGTGCTTTAACTTTATGAAAAGTGATATTTAGATTATAAGATTAAATAAAGTTAAGAAGTGTATTCCATATAGACCAGTATGGTGTGTTGGAAGAATGAGAATTGGCAGATTGCTGGGTTAGACTGTTATACTTAGATATAACTGATTGAGAGTCTGTAAAGATTTGGATATTACAGTTTCTAGGAGCAATGCATATTGCAAACAGAATTGCAAGCAATTCAGCTTTAAAAGAGCATAGCCATAATGAGATTTGTGCATGGAATGTGTAAAGAATATTGTTGACCCTTTCTTAGATTGCTTAATAAAAACCTAATAGGTATACCATTAAACCAACAATCAATTCAGCAAAGATTTAAACTAACAGCTTATGCTGATGATATTACAATTAGCATAACATTATATGCAGAATGTAACACTATTACTAAACTGATACAGGAGTATAAAGATGCGTTGAATGTCAGAATCAATAAAACTAGATCAATACTGGTCCTACTAATAAGCAATAATGATGGATAGAACACCCTGAAGCAAAAAAATTCAAAGTGTTGCCAGAAAATGAGTCAGTCAAAGCTTTGGAATTCAAATTAGATTCTCAAGGTAAATTAAACAAAAATACCTGGCTAAGAACAATATTAAAAATTAAAAAAACACTAGAAATCTGTCACAACGTAGCTTATCGCTCAAGGGTATAATCCTATTAATCAAGACACTGATACTATCTAAAATTTGTTATATAACATATCTTGCATCTCTAAGTAGAATGCAATTGACAAAAATTGATAATCTTATAAGAAAAAAGATCAAAAATAATTGTAAATTACTTTCTAGGTACTCAGTTTTCCAACAGAAGTATAAGTATGGTGGCCTGGATGCACCAATACTTAAAGATGCAGTAGATGCTAGACTGCTTTTTATATTTCTAAAACTACTTACAAGTAACAACTGCTAGGCGAAAGCAGAAAGGGAAATTATCAATTTGGAGCTGCGTAACAAAAGAAACATTATAGTATTAGGTGCGCTAAATATAATACTTATTAAAAATAGAGCCTGGCCAGAATATTGAAAACCCTTTATAGCAGCTTGGAAAAGAGCAGAGAGATCTGTTAAAAAAGGATTAGAAAATTGGCTATGGAAACCAGAGAACGCTAACATATCTGGAAATGAATTTACAGTACACAAGGTAGTTTCTTTTTTTAAAAAAATTACTATTAACAGCCATACAAAAATTAGAAAATTATAATAGTGCAAGCAATGATATGTGGAAATAAATCAACATAAAATGAATAAATAACAAAAGAAAAAATATTTTTGGCGTTATTGCCATAAATCTTTGCCATTGGAATATAGATAAAAGAATATAGCACATAATGACAGTGGTGAATACCAGATATCCCTGGGGAAAGCCAAACACATGACCATTTTGAAATAACTTGCAAAATTAGCAAAATAATATGAAACTTGTATATTCATATATAAGCCCAAGGGAGAATCTCCTAACAACTCTTGAAGAAATTGCCACAGCATCAAATATTCATGACAAAACAAAAAAGAAGTTAACAAGATAGCTGCATATTAATGCAATATATGAGATCTGGTGTTGCTATACACAAGCTAGATGGGGAGGAAAACCTATTCCAGAACCCATATTTAAATAATTATTAAAAACAAAATCAAGAAAGAGTTTAAAATTATGAAACACTACAAATAAAGTTAAAAATGACCTAGATATATAATCTCTTAATAAAAAACATGTAAATAATGTATATAATACTATAATGTAATATAATACATATATTTGAACCAAATAAAGTATACCATCTAGTGTCCTCTAGAGGGGGTTTAAAAAAAAAAAATTTGCAAGCTGTTGAAGAGTGTTAGATGCAGAGTTGGTTAGGAATATAGAAGGGATTTGTGAAGTTTGTATAAAAAGGTTTGGAGGTGCAAGGATTGAGAAAGTATCTTGAAGTTGAATTGAATATATAAGGTCAAGAGGGTTTGTATTAAATTAACTGATTTGTCAGAATAAAGTCTGCTGAGAAATTTAATGGCATGGCTAGTTGGGATGAGAATAGTACATTTGTTATTAATAATATTGAAATTAAGAGAATAGCTAGAACATGGTTTAGTAATTATATCAGAAATAGAGTATAAGGATAAGAAGGTAGTTGTGAAATCACACTGCTAGTGAGTAATTAATATATGTTTTGAATTCATAGATTAATAGCAGGCTTTCTCTATGATAATTTGGTTATTAGATATTATAATAAGCCAAGATTTAGAGTGCTTTTTAAAGTAACTAGTATTATAGCTATAGTAATTAGTTAGTGATAGTTGTAGCTGAGAAGAAATAGATCAGTTAAGAGAATAGTTGATAATAAAGCTTTCTAGGAGTTTAAACCATTATGGAATCTTTTCTCTAGGTATTTTATTGAGTTTTGAAGAGATATGTTTCTAGTCAAAGAGACAGAAATTATCAGAAGTGATAAGTTGGTTAAAAAAAAGTATGTGGTAATGACATAATTGTTTTTTAAAAGTAGCATAGTTAGGGTGTAGTAACAGAAAAGATTCATGAGTAATTGATCTCTCTTGAATTGTTGAAAATATGGTTGTATTTGAATTAGGACTAATTGTCCAAATTATGTATTTAAAAAGTTGTATAATTTTGAAGTTAGTATTAAGTCTGTTAGAACCATCAATAAGAGGATTAGGATGAGATAATATACTAGTAGAGAACCAGAGATTATATTGGAGTTGTTGAATTCGAATATGTATAAATATGCCAAGGAGTGATCTATTGTTGAGGTGTTTGATGAAGTTGGGAATGTTTAATATTATAGATCTGTAGGTGAAGTAAAACACTAGTAGAGATAGTAAGACAAAGTTTAGCTTTATATTTGACTAAGTTAATGTGTTGTCTAAAGATTTTGTTGCAAACAGATTGACTAAGAATAATATTATGAATTCTGTATTCTAAGGTAGGAATAATGATAGTGTTAATGATATATCTAGTCTGAGTATCAGTTATTTGTTTGGTATTAGCAATTTTAACTAGTTAAGAGGATTTAAAAGAAATAAGTTAGATCTGTTTAGTGTGTTTGTTATTAAGAGTGAACTAGCAGCCAAGGAACTTAAAAGGCTAATTAGCTAGCTATAGAGGAAGTATTTCATTATTAAAGGAGATTAGATAATAAGCATTGGGTTTAGAGTTAGATATTAAGATAGATTTGATAGAGTTAACTTTAATGTTGGCTATATTGTAAAAGAATTTAGCAACTGAGAAAATATTAGATAGCTTAGTTTAACTAGATGCAATCCACAAAGTGTCATCCATGTAAGCCAATATGAAGCTATTAGCTTCAAGCTTATTGGTAGAGAAATTCTTTAGGTTGGTAGGCTATGAAACCAAGATTAAGTAGCCAGGAAAAGATTAATGAATATAGGTAATTAGAGGGTCATAATAAATTTGTCAGAGCAAAGGGATGATGGTCTCCACTTGATCAATACCATTTTGAACCTGATATAGTAGTGTCAAACCAAAATTGGTTATAACTTCATTCTGGCAATTAGTGAGTAGGTTTGAAAGAATATTAATGATA